GATTCTAATTTTTTTACAAAGTAACTATGCATATCTGAATTGGAATCAACTTGTTTGTATGTGTATATGTGTGTGAACAGGATTGGTTTAACTGCAAAGCCGTTTATTTATACATCACTTGCAGTGCCTTTCTCCACTGATTAACTTGTAAATTGTTCTGATTTATTGAAATATGTATAACCAGATATTTTTAACAGTTGCAATTGTTTGCTATTGCTTCAATTTACAGATTAAAATAATCAATCTTGCAATTTTGAAGTTTAGGATATATGTTTAGTTCAGTAGTTACTCATTTACACTGTTTACCAATTTTCATTGGAGTTGTGTTGGGTTAGGTTTTCTGGTTTGGTGGAAATGTATACTTATCCCATTTATTGTGAGCTTGTCCTATGCTCAGTCTTAAATATACTTGGAATTTGTATGTCTAACACATACAGGTGAAACTCAAAAAATTAGAATATCATGCAAAAATTCATTTATTTCAGTAATGCAACTTAAAAGGTGAAACTAATATATGAGATAGACTCATTACATGCAAAGCAAGATAGTTCAAGCTGTGATTTGTCATAATTGAGATGATTATGGCTTACAGCTCATGAAAACCCCAAATCCACAATCTCAGAAAATTAGAATATTGTGAAAAGGTTCAATATTCTAGGCTCAAAGTGTCCCACTCTAATCAGCTAATTAAGCCATAACACCTGCAAAGGGTTCCTGAGCCTTTAAATGGTCTCTCAGTCTGGTTCAGTAGGAATCACAATCATGGGAAAGACTGCTGACCTGACAGTTGTGCAGAAAACCATCATTGACACCCTCTATAAGGAGGGAAAGCCTCAAAAGGTAATTGCAAAAGAAGTTGGATGTTCCCAAAGTGCTGTATCAAAACACATTAATAGAAAGTTATGTGGAAGGGAAAAGTGTAGAAGAAAAAGATGCACAAGCAGCAGGGATGACCGCAGCCTGAAGAGGATTGTCAGGAAAAGGCCATTCAAAAGTGTTGGGGGCTTTCACAAGGAGTGGACTGAGGTTGGAGTCAGTGCATCAAGAGCCACCACACACAGACGGATCCTGGACATGTTGTATTCCTCTTGTCAAGCCGCTCCTGAATAACAAACAACGTCAGAAGCGTCTTACCTGGACTAAAGAAAAACAGAACTAGCCTGTTGCTCAGTGGTCCAAAGTCCTCTTTTCTGATGAGAGCAACTTTTGCATCTTATTTGGAAACCAAGGACCCAGAGTCTGGAGGAAGAATGGAGAGGCACACACTGCAAGATGCTTGAAGTCCAGTGTGAAGTTTCCACAGTCTGTGTTGATTTGGGGAGCCATGTCATCTGCTGGTGTTGGTCCATTGTGCTTCATTAAGTCCAGGGTCAATACAGCCGTTTACCAGGAGATTTTGGAGCATTTCATGCTTCCTTCCACAGATGAGCTTTATAGGGATGCTGACTTCATTTTCCAGCAGGACTTGGCACCTGCCCACACTGCCAAAAGCAGCAAAACCTGGTTCATTGACCGTGGGATTACTGTGCTTGATTGGCCAGCAAACTCGCCTGACCTGAACCCCATAGAGAATCTATGGGGCATTGCCAAGAGCAAGATGAGAGACATGAGACCGAACAATGCAAAAGAGCTGAAGGCCGCTATTGAAGCATCCTGGTCTTCCATAACACCTCAGCAGTGCCACAGGCTGATAGCTTCCATGCCACGCCGCATTGAGGCAGTAATTGCTGCAAAAGGGGCCCAAACCAAGTACTGAGTATATATGCATACTTATACTTTTCAGAGGTGTGATATTGTTCTATGTACAATCCTTGTTGTAATATTCTAATTTTCTGAGATTGTGGATTTGGGGTTTTCATGAGCTGTAAGCCATAATCATCTCAATTATGACAAATCATGGCTTGAACTATCTTGCTTTGCATGTAATGAGTCTCTCATATATTAGTTTCACCTTTTAAGTTGTATTACTGAAATAAATGAACTTTTGCACGATATTCTAATTTTTCGAGTTTCATCTGTACTAGCTTGTTCCATATTATGCATAGTTTAGCAGCTATCACTATTGTTCTCTTGGAAGAGTACCTACTACATCATTTTCAGGACATGCAATTCTGTAACTAATATCGTGGTTAAATTTTAGTGAGAATCCTAGAGCTGGGGGCTTTCAGTTTAATTAGTCTTCTCCCCTAAATTGTTAATTTTCCACAAAGCTGCTGAAGTGGCAGCAAGAGATGTATTACATGCATTTTTGGCATGTACATTTTATAGTTTCCTTCTTCAGTTATGGTGGAATGGGATGACTTGATCCATCTGCATCCCTGATAGCTGACTCCTGTAAACCACAATGGCATCAGATGTTAAAAATCCATGACAGTGTTAAGAGAAACCAGCCCAGCCCCATAAAAACAAAGGGAGATTTTGTGGTTGTCTCTCCTGGCCACTAACTATGAGTGGTTAACCATTGCAATATATCCAACGATAGAATAATGCTGAAGCCCACTAACATGAAATAAAATGTTAACTTATGAGATCTCAAGTTCTAATTGATAGCACTATTGTCTACAGGATTTGGACAACCAAAATTAGTATTTGGACTTCTAAGGTTATCAAAGCACATTGCTTATACAAGCCAGCTTTCAAAGAGTTAATGGCCTAGAGCAGCCACAGCTAATAGAAAGCAGACTTTAGAAAGAATTGGGAGCAGATGGGTGGCTGGATTTGAAATCATATTTTTCTTCCTGCTAGAACCTTGAAAGTGATTCAGTACTCACTACTACAACAATGTATACCTATTGTCTTCATGCATTGCGTGTGTATGCATGTTGGTCTACACCTAAGAAAATACTTCTTAGCTCCTTCCAGTAGGTATTCTAGGCCTTATACACTGATAATATTATTTCGTGCATTGGGGAGGTTCTTTATCCATTGTTCATTTGTTTAGAGACAGAAATTCTTAAATCATCTTTCTCATTTGATCTGATTTTTTTAAATAAAATATAAGAATCAGCTCTCAAGTTGATGGCTGTATTAATTTGAATTGTGGGGAGTTCTGCTACGTAATTGCATTTAAAACCAAAAAACTAAAGTGATTGGGAATGTAGTAACTGCTGAGAAAGAAAAAGGCACATGGACTTTGCCACTGATAGTTAATTTTAACCTGGAGGTGGTGGGTGTTTCTGATGATTTAAAACAAAGGGTTTTTTTTTTTTTTGCTGAAAGAAAGCCAAACTGAACTAGTGGTTAAGACTGGCAGGTGGAGAACCTTGCCCCAAAATCAGTAGAATATTGGTTTTGGAGTTTTGAGATCTTGCAAAACTTAACCCATTTTATCCATTAACACCCAACTAAAAAACAACCCCCACCTCCAAATGTTGGATCCTGTATTGCATTCACTCTGAAGATCATTATGAGCCTCTGAGTTGTCCATTTTCATACTTCAATTTGTTCTAAACCTCTGTTTTAATTTGATGAGGCTAACAGCATGTCTCAAAACAATGTACTGTGGAATGCAGGCTCCTGAATTTGCTGACATGTCATCAGCAAAGGTGGGAAGCAAAAGGAAGTAAAAATGGGGTAGGAGAATCTGTTCAATACATCTGAGTTTAGTTTCAGTCTGCGGGAATGTGGAAGGAGGCCACTTACATTGGGTTTTACCAGGTATAGAGAGGTATTAGGTGGCACACAGTTTCCCCAAAATTATTGAAATTAAGGAACAAGCAAAGCAACTGAAGACTCCCCATTTCTTAAATAAGAAATCTATTATTTTGAACTCATCTTCACCTTTAAGCAAAATACCCATTCTTGTTTAATCTTTATTGCTCCTTAATCTATATCAGCCTTCAGATTCTCTGAGATCTATACAACAGGCTAGGTTTGGATAAAAGATTTTCACATTTTCTCTTGGAAACTTCCCTGCTGTTGGGTCTCTTGTAAGATGCAGAAGATTCTTTACCTGTCAGCGAAATGTATTTCCTGAAATACCAGTGGAAAATACTTTCTTGTCAAAGCCACCAATCTTTTCAGGAACATATGGTTCAAACATTGAGCTAAGTCATTCCCTCTACATCAGTGGCCCCCAACCTTTTTTGTGCCACGGGCCGGTACCAGCATCACAAAATGATCCGCGGCCCGGTACCGGCATCAGCACGCATGACAAGGCAAGGTGAGCCGAGCGACCGGCTAGCCAGCCGTCCCCCGCTTCTCCCTGCCACCTTCAACTCCTCCTTTGTACCTTTGTCGATGGGCTTCGCTTTGGGACGGTCGCTCAGTTCGCCTTGCCTTGGGTGCTGAAAGAATCCTCGCGTCTTAGTTTCGTTCAAAGCCCCCCCCCCCCTTCGATGAAACTAAGGCGCGAGGATTCCTTCAAGACCCAAACGCTGCTTTCCAACCGGAAAAGCTCACCCGGAAGCACTTTCTCGTCAAAGAAGATGGTGGCGCCCAGCAAACCGGCGGCCCGGTAGGAAATGTTCCACGGACCGGTACTGGTCCACGGCCCAGTGGTTGGGGACCCCTGCTCTACATGATTTGGTATGTATGGAAAATGATGGTAAATGTACTGTGATTGTAACCATTTTTTATGCTGCACACTGAGCAGCAAAGGATCAGAATGGAACAATGTTTAATTACATGGTTAGCTAAACCGGATGAAATTCTTTGATAATAAAATGGTACACATTATAAAAGTGTGTTCCATTAATTGTATGATTTACAAATAAATTATTTTTATACAAGTACTTTCCAAAGCTGTTTGCCCTACTTTAGAACATACGTTCTCTCTTCTACAAGAGGGGAGAAAGAAAAAGCTTCTGGCATGAACATTACATCCCACAGAGACAATATAAAATCATTTTCAAAACTACTTTGCTTACAGGCAAAGGAGTTGTTGGAGGAAATACAGTACTTACTGTAATTATAAAATGAATAGCAATTCTAGACCGTGTTTTTGCTTTAAATCCATCCTATATAGATCACCTTTGAGATGG